CAGTATGAGTAAAACAACACATGTTTTCCCTCACCCATACTCCAAAAGAGCTGAATCATTTTGTTTTTCCAAACAATACCGCCTGAGATACCAGGCATGGAAAATCTCATTTCAAGTGATTCAAACCTGGCAAAAAAAAAATAAAAATTGAGCAATTGAAAATAGATGTACAGCCAACACACTGAAAGGAACAATTCCACCTGCAGTGGAGCTGGAAGATTGCTGCTCCTCCTTCCATCTATGGAATGTAAGCACATTAATAACCCATGCTGATTTGGGACAGCAATGGTCAATAATAAGGTACATCTGAGAGAGAAATCATTCTCAGGCACAACTCTGCCATTAGAAGATGGCACTAAATGCCACCTCAGACTAGTTCTTCTGTATATTTGAACACATATGCTTCAAAAACACTGGCTAATTATTAGCTCTATTAGCTCTAAGCTTCAAAGTGCTTGGGATCCCATATGAAAACATATGAATTATTCATATGGAGCTTCTGCTCACTAAAAGAAAAAGGAAAAACATGATCAAGGTGTACATTCATTTTAACTCACACAACAGAATTTCAACAGCTTGTAAACACAGTAAAACTGATATTTCTGATTTACTGGATTAATATTTGCCAGAGACAGTAAAAAATTATTTTACATTAATAAAGGAGCACATAAAATATGTGGGAAAGTAAGTAGCTATGGATGTTGACTGGATAACATGGCTTTTCTGAAATGATATTTTGGGAAGTTTTACTAATAAAATAGAAACTGTAATGTCAAAAAAAAATCCCAAACAAAAAACCAACAAACTAAAAGCTCAGGAAACTTGAAAGCTAACCTACAGCTGGAACAGATGTTACAGTTCAGCATTTTCTAAGCCAGTATATAAGCAAGCTCTATCATAAGCTATGAATGGTTGTGGAGGTATCAGCAGCACTTATAGCAGACATGGTTGAGGGTATGTCCAAGTTCAGTGATACAAATCAAAGCACAGACCTGCTCTGATTATAGTTACTTCAAAAGAAAAATGGCCAAGCTAATTTCTGTAACAGTGTATTATTAGCTAACACTTCCAGCTCTGCAATGCCGATGTTTTTTTTCCATCTGTTGGCACAGAATAATTAGCATGTAAGGTGCTTAGATTACCCAGCCAACACAGGATGGATAAGTGATTAATAAACAGAACTGGCAATAGAGCACAATGATGTGGCACAGGTTTAACCTCAGCTCTAACTGCTCGTCAGCCTGTAACCAAAATGCACAGTACACAAAAAATTCTCACACTTAGATCAAACAGGGAGGTGGTGGAGTCACCTTCCCTGGTGGGATTTAAAAGATGGGTAGACAAGGTGCTTAGGGACATGGTTTAGAGGTGGAATTGTCAGTGTTGGGTTCATGGTTGGACTCACGGTCATTTCCAACCACTATGATTCTATGATGGTGACACGGGAATTGTTGTAATCTACTTGGAACATACACAGGGAGGACAGAGGGACGAGCTTCACCCCACATCCATACATGTGTTAATATTATGGGGGGGAATCCCACCAAAAGCAGAGAAATGTCTGCTGACCCATAATCTCTTATCACTGAGTGCATCCTATCAGCAGCACAAGCTATTAAGGTTGACAGTCACAGACAGACTTCCAGCTGTGGGTGACATCAGCTGTACTCAACCCTGATTAATAACTTAATAGACCCCAGTAATCACGCAGGATGAAGCACATTTCTTCAAAGGTAGCTAATAAAACCCAAGTGCTTAACTGGGAAATACAGACAAGCTTTTTCACGACCTTGACACCTCACCGCACCATCCCAACACTAACTGCTACACGCTGAAAAGGCGAAAAGGACAGACAGATGTCAGGCAGGGATGTGTACACAGTGTGGGACACCTGGATTAAATGACAGTGTTCAGCCCAGATTAATTTCCCTTCCCTATGATCTGGTAAACCCACACTTGTTTTAATAAGCACTGTGATTTGGTAAGAAGTGAACACATGCACATCTGTGGCGGTGAAATTACACTACATCCATCGGACACTAATGCTAGAGACAACCTCTGCTGCTCATTTTCATCAAAATAAATCAAGCTTTGGCAGGTCTTGAAAGCAACACACAAATTTCTCCCTGTCTGTACACTTCTGTTTCACAGAATAGCATAGTTTTCATATCATCAATTTTCTAAGCAGCAATTCAAAAGAAGAGCCCTTTTAGATTTCTGAGAAAATAACATAAAGGGGGTTACTCAAAGGAATAGATGCTGCAGCTACGACCGTTCTCATTATGTACACACAAGATGCTTCAGTGTTCCTTGCTACTGATTACATGAGTAAACATTTTTAGTATGCAACATCCTATTAACTCAAGGGGATTCTGCATCATTTTATAACAGCTCCACTCGTGGTGTTTGATCGACTGGGTCAGTGACAGCCAGATGGCAAAGAATTAATTCTGATGCTGCTTTATTGCAGTGCTAGCATCAGGGTTTTCTCTACTCGCTACATTCAAAAAAACTAGAACTTTTCCTACATTCCCTTCACCTACGAGTAACACACCAAAGAGTAAAAAGATGGAAAGTAATTTTCTTTTTTTAAGTATGTAGCTCTAGAAAGGATAAAAAAAGCCAACCTTGTTGTCAGTCCTTCTGTCCATACTAGAGGGAGAGTGGTCAGTCAAAAGCCCAAGCATCACAAGTGTTAACATACAATAAACAAAAACAAATAGGATTTTTATTCCATAGGGAAAGGAGATAGTTCACTGGTCAGTAAGTGAACTTCCACAGCTGTACCCTTCTCTTGAAATTATTTCTTCTGTCTCCTGTGCTCACTTGATTTTATTTAGTTTTGGTTTGTCATCCTTCCCTTCTGGAAGCCCTTTTTCATGGCCTCAGCACCTGACAATGCCAAAGTCCTACAACTGGCAGCACGAGTTTTTACAAAGATTTTCCTTTTTTATAAGGGCACTTAATGACAAAAGTGCCCTTTTCATAAGGGCAGTTAATGACAAAACAAGGGGAAATGGGTTTAAACTGAAAGAGAGGAGGTTTAGATTAGATATTAGGAAGAAGTTCTTCACTGTGAGGGTGGTCAGACACTGGAACAGGTTGCCCAAGGAAGTTGTAGATGCCCCCTCCCTGGAAGTGTTGAAGGTCAGGTTGGATGAGGCTTTGAGCAACCTGGTCTAGTGGAAGGTGTCCCTGCTGATGGCAGGGGGGTTGGAACTGGATGATCTTTAAGGTCCCTTCCAACCCAAACCATTCTATGAGTCTATGATTCTTTTTGCCTTTTTCCCCTGTATTTTTCTGTTCTAAGAGGAAGAACAAGAATGTTGCAGCAATCACTACAAATAGAAAGACAAATAGAAACTATTCTACTTGTCATTTCCCCTCCTCATATAAAATCTTAAAACAAAAATAAAAGTCAATCTGAGAACATAAAGGAATAATATAGTCTCATCTCTCAAAGTAGAGAGATGACACTGGAACCTGTTCCTCCAATAATTAGTGTTTTCTCCTATTCCATTTTTTAATCACTCCAGAATTCTAAGGTATAGTGATAAGAATTATCTAGTACTTAGTTAATTTGTGCTTAGCATAAATTTAGAGGCCAAACTATTAGCAGCTGAAAAACAGTGCCTAAAATTGAATTATTAATGCACTGTTTCCCCAATTTGAGGAAAATGGTCCCAAAAGTAAACAAAGATCTGTTTGGGATTTGCAGACAGAACCTTAAGCTCTTGAGATACACAACTAACGTCCAGAAAACCTTCAAAATATGGAGTTAATTAAATTGATGTAGAAATATTTGGCTGAGGTTTTGGGTTTTATTTTAAAAGCCTGAAACTCAGAGGCATTATCTACATGTAAGCTTTGAGAAGCCAACTCAGGGACCCACATGGCCATAGTTGATATTCCAACTATTTCAAAGCATGAGAGAAAAGGCATTCTTCCTTGAATCCTTTGCCAGCATTATCCAAAGTGGGTTGAAGATGTAATGGAAAAGATATAGCAAGGAAAGGTAAATCAGGATTGGTTTGATTTCTTTTTCTTTTGGTTGAACAACTTAGTTTTGGGAAATAGCCCCCTCACATTTCACAACAAGACAGTTCCTTTTAAAGGTACTGTGCTATCGTTCTTCCAGAAGCCCTATTTTCTGTAATTTGAAAAAAATTCTTCCTTTTTCTTAAAACATTACAGCTTTCATCCCTATTTCTCACACATCAGTTTGCATTATGAACATTTCTCTGAAATCCAGGCCAATTAAGAATGTTTCAGAAATAAGGGCGGAAGGATGTCAGGCATTAAAAAAACTTCGGACAAACAATTTTCTTCCATTTGGATTTTTAATTAAGCTTTCTGAAAGTACTTGAATAGAAGAAAATGGTGAAAAAAACATCTAGTGAGTTTTGACTAATCGAAAGAAAGACTTAATTTTCTTTTAGAGACATGGACGCCAGCTTCAACTTTTACCACTGACAGTGCATTAAATCAATTCCACCCCTGAAACTTAGCCTGGCTCTTTGGCCTCACATCCAAGGAAGGAAGAGCTTCTTTCTGGCTAAGTCAATAGGGACCAAGCAAAGCCCAACTGCTCAGTCACTCCTTCCATCTCTCTTACATGGACTCCTGCATCTCTCTTACATGGGAACAGAGATAATCTTGTGATTATCCCTTGCTTTGTAGCAAGGCACATCCAACTGCAGGACACCAATGATTTCATGTTTTGTCATCAACAGCTCATATAATTCTCAAATCCATTGACAGTGTCACCAGATCAGCCAAGAGGGAGTGTGTTTCTCTCATATCATTCCTAATTATTCCAGGACATCATCACTTCTTGCATTACACAAAAGCCACAGTTCTAAAAACGGGAGTTATCTTATTCTACAGTTGTTTTCAGCCTTTTGCAGTGTAACTTCTCCACAAAACCAAGTTCACATAAGATTTTTTTTTTTTTTCCAAATATTTCTAGGTGGCAGGGGGAAGCCTTATTTCTTTTTTACCTGAAATGGTGACTGGCTGTTGTAGTTCTTAATCTCCTTGTTGGCTCCCCGGAACAGCAGCACTCTTGCACAGCTCTCCTGAAAAGGGCAGAAGAGTAAACTTGTTAGTAAGGGTCTGTAATTACCAAAGAGACATTGCAGCTATAAGATGTGTCGCTCTTTGGTATTTTCTTAAATAAGAAGTAAACAAAATAAATAAATAAATCTAAGAAATTAAGTTATTAAAATAGTACTTTAACTATGACAAGGTTTTAGGTGCTTTGCAGTGTGTTAGAGTAGAAACAACATGCAAAATATAAAAATCACAGAGGAATACAAGAGGTGAACATCTTATTAAATTTTTAAGAAACTGTACTGTGGAAATTCCATAGTTGACAAATCAGATTTTGCAAAACAAGTGTTAGTTCAAAATGAAATTTGACTCTCATATGTTTTTTGTCTATTTTGTA